ATTAATTTCAACCATGAATATATTTTTTTTTGTTAGAATAAAATCATATAATTGAAAAAAGAAGAAATTAGAATTATTCAATTTCATATTTATAGATATTATTCTTTTAATTTATAATATATATATTAAATTCTTTACTGATAATTTAAAGATAAGAATCATCTTAAAATCATATTATTTTATTTAAATTATTTTAAAAAAAATCTTTAAAGCATATTAATATGAATTCTTTCGAATCAATAGATATTCCGAATATTCTGAACAATTAAGCAGAATATATAATTTCTATATCTTATGTATATTCTATTATATATTTTTTGGTATTATAAAAAATTACACTTTTCTATATCTATGGAGATTGCTCTTTATTTTTGTTTCAGTCTCTAACTCGAAAATTTCCCTTGTATTTCGACCTTATGTATACATAACTTGAATCACTTTCCTAGCTTGAAAGCTTTACAAACCAAATAACAATAAAAAAATTGACCCAAAGTACACAGCAATCAAGTATAAAGTCGGGTTTATTACGGAAGATTATTTATAGTAGAACCTCGTCTCCCAATTCAAGTCGCAACCCAGAAGCTTCCGAAGAAGAGGACCAGAATCGATGGAATACACTTTCAAGACTTAGGAGCATAATATCATAGAAGTGTATAGAATTAAAATTAAGAATAAAGGTAATTCAAAAGTCGACTTAGGCCATGATTCGTATATAAAAAGTCCACCTAAGGCCTATCTTACGCGCGATATCCGATATACCTATATATTCTTCCGAAGTTCCCAAATAGGCTGTGGAACTATTCTTCTATATTGCTCCAGACTACATCAGAACGACTCGTGCCCACTTTACAAAAACAGAGCGACGGCGTCAACAACTCGACACTTATCACGACTATATTACGCGTCAAGTCCTCGTACTTAACTACAACAGCTGCGCAAGTATAAGTAAACCCCCAACCACAAGTTTATACGGAAACCATCTTAATCTAGGTGCAACAACATCACTACTTAAGAAATTAATAATTTAAGAAATTTTCCCCTCGGACAGTCGCGAAATCAAAAACAAAATAGAAAAAATGCATAAATTAAAAATAAGAAATCCAAAGTACATTAAACTCGGCGTACCAATTTCTTATTTTTGTCTTCGTCATTTTTATTCATATAAAGAAAAATAAGAAACTAAGGGACTCGATTTCGTATCCTACGCCGGCCAGAACGCCCAAAAATTAAGAAATTAAACCTTTCAAATCGAACCCCTCAATTTCTTATTTTGACGACTTTTTTAGTCATAACAAAATCTTAAAAACCTTTATTAATCTTTTATAGAATCCCTCCATTTCTTATTTTTCGTGGTTTTTGACCACGACAAAACCTAAAAAAATACTTTTATAAAGCCTTTAGAACACTACAAAGCTATTATTAAGGCTTAATAAAGTATTAGGCAAGCCCAGAGATTTACGACCAAGAACCGTGGGTTTAGAACAATTTTCCTATGAAATTTATTTCGTATCTAGTTATGTGGCCTCAAAATCGATATATCTATCAATTCACAATAATTGAGTAGATCTAATCAAAACTAATCTGAATCTAATTCATATGACCAGGGGTAGTCAAAGAGCCTTGTTGATTAATTTGTCATTCAGTGTCATTCAGCTTGTTGGTTGCTTCAGCAGCTAGCCCTAACAACAGGTTTCAACACCAGGACTTTGCCTGGTAGGCAGCAGAGCAGGAAGTCTGACTGCGCTTCTATTCATTTAGGGTTACGTTTGAGAGAACCGTCACCCATGTCGTTGAGATGTCTGCCTCAGCCAGCAACTAGGAATCGGGAAGTCAGGGATTCTTTGCACGCACCTTTAGCCAAGATGCAAAGTTCTCTGTTCTTGCCTTTACTTTGATGTCCCAGACGTCGAACTGGCAGTCTGCAGCCTTCAAAGTAATGCACGCCTATACGTTGCAGCTTCCCTGAGCCGCCCCTCTTCAGGCCTTGTTCTCAAAGCGCAGATCAGCACAAGCCACTCCAAGTGCGCACGAGGAGAGGGTAAAGCCATTGTTGTCGTACTGTATGCCGGGACCGCGAAACAGGGTCCCAGTCAGCGGCATGTGCCCTGGGTGGACCAATGCTGCAAGCCGATGCTGACAACAGCTCTGATTGCAAACACCCGCATTTGATGGTGTTTACGTGAACTCGCAGAGAAAGTTCTGCAAAAGCAGTTTGTTGCCAAGAACTCAGAACAACAGAGCAGTTAAACCGGACCCGGACTCTCGTTCGTGGCCGCCCTCCGTCCGAAACTACCATCTTGCTCCTGCCCTAGCCTTTACATCCAGGCGACCACATGCGGACACGGTGAGGTGCGCGCTGCCCGAGTTCACCGAAGCCTCGTAGTTACACCGATCCACGTCCACAACGAACCGCATCCACATCGCGAAGCGCATCAGAAGACTTTCGTCGAGGCAATCCTTGCGAGCGGGCGACTGCCATGTGCACCGGCTGCTAATGGAACCCGTGGATACCCGTGAGTTGAGTGGACTTGGATTCTTGGGTTGCTCGTCTCTCAACCGCAGGCACGAGCACACTTCACAGACAAAGCTCGCGGATGCTCTTGCAAGTAGGACCTCCGACACAAGCCTGAGGCAGACGCCTCGGTTTCTCAGCCCGATGCCTCGTGGTTGCCATGGATTTCTCTTGCTGTGCGCCCGACGGGTATGTTGCTTCTCAATGTGATTCCAGATATGTGCGGTCTGCTGTCGTGGTTGATGCTGTTGCCAGCAGTGTTTGCTGCTTCGGTTCTCTTGGATGAGCCCGAGATACCGAAACCTGGCAATGGGCTTCAGGGCATGAAAGTTTGGATTCTGTGTGGTGCAGTTCAACACTCGTGTGCATTCAGCTGGTCGCGAGAGCCCTGTCAGACGCGCAAGCCAGCCAACGGCGCAAGGTTTTCGCTTGCCACAGAGTCCTTGACGTGCTCATAGGCGTCCCTGATGCTGTTGATCACGTCATCGAAAAACCCGTTATGAATACCTGTCAGTGTCACCTGAGCGATGATTTACAGAATGGAAGCTGTAGCTTTTGTAAACTGCGCATGTGCTCGATGCAGTTGCACTTGCATCGTGCTGCATCTTTTCGTGTCAGGCAGCAGTTTTCTGCAAGTGGTAGTCCAGCGTGAAGCCTTATGTTTTTGTCATTGACCGGGCATTCAGGGATGTGCCAGCAGCAACACTCCCACTTGCCTCATCCAATATGCATGCTGTTTGCTAATTTTAGTTAAGGGGTATATTAAAAAGCAAGGCCATGCTGACAAGCTGCGCCCAGATCGCTTCCTTGCACGTTGCTGCAGCGCGAAGAGAGCTTCTCCAGAACAGCCCTGCGCGAAGGCATAGCAAGTTGCAACGTTTGGAGCATTGGCCCTGCTATGCCCTGCAATCTTGCATGGTAGCGTGAGCTCGGACTCTTGGCCGGAAGGCTGCAGACTGACTTGAGGGCATGGTCTTTCATGTAACCGCGCACCTGTTCCTCAGCCTGCAACGCTCGGCAAGCCGACATGTCCTTGAACTTGGGCGATGCCAAGATGCATCCACGCTGCTGACAGGCATGCACTTGCTGCTCCTGCTCGTCGGCAGCTGCGACAGCTGCACGTAGCAGTGCAACCAGCAGAAAGTATCGTGGCCATCTGCGCATTGGCTCAATGGTTTTGGCGAGCGCTTGGCGCATTCGGATACCCCAGTGGGCCGGGAATGACTGATCTCGAAATCAAGGACTTCGAAGCGTGAACAGTACTGTAAACACTTCTGCTTTGCATCTTATTCGTGCCAACTAAGTCGAGCCAGCTGGCAGGATACCAGGCAGGATTTCTATTGCAGCTTGTGTGGGTGGACTGCAGACTGTGTCGCTGCATGACATGCTCCTCTTTCGCACTTCTCACACATAGATCCCTGTGGTAGCACATCCACGGTCTCCAAGCATAACCTTCAAGATTACAAGAAATAGCGCACCATCTCACAATACTGGACACAACTGGAACAAAGACTTCCGGAATAGCCGCAAACAAGCAGCCAGTCAGCATCTGGAGAGTCCCACCTGATTCACGCAAGCATCGGTCTTGAAAGCTATTGACGTGTGTTTTGACGGAAGACAGCACCATGACAGGTGTGATTGGGCTCTTACTTTGGCAGCCTTGCGAGCTGCTAGTTAGTTGCTCTGTTGCCTGGATGTCCCGCAATCCACGAAGTAGAAAGAAGTCAAAGCACGGACCCGATCGGGCAAAGCAGGCTTAACATTAGACAGCCGGAAAAATGTCGGGACAGTTGGACAGACCTCGACCTGGTCCCAAAGCTTTCCCGTGGCTTGCAACCTCACCCATCTTGATCCGCTTCCATGACCCTTGGCAGGTTTCGATTGCTAGTCCGGACCCTTGTCCTTCCGGTCTCTGATGTTTGCGCATGTGTGGGAACAACAGGCTCAAAGCATGAACGTCCATGCTCGATTTTGCCGATGGTCTCAAGCCATCTCTCACGGCACCGGCATCCCCGGCCTCTGGCCCACTCCTGGCTGCGACATCAATCGGGCCTGGGAGCAACTGAACATCAAGCTGCTGGCATGGTCCAGAAGTTCCATTTCACAATTACTTTGTGATTCATCCGTAAACATAATCTCAGTGACGCACACGCACACGCACTCTCACACAGTCTCTCACACACACACACAGAAGTTGAGCGAGCCTAGGTGTGCAGGGCTCAAACGATTGGATTTGCAAGGCGCCTCATTGATGGATGCCTCGATGCTCTTGGTCTTGGTTGGATCGCCTAAGATCCAGAGCCGAGCCAGAACCCGTCACCAACGACTGCTCTGCCAGATGCATCCTGCTGCAATCACACAACGCAGCAGCGATTTGTCAGCCGAAACACCCTTGCTGCGTATGGTGTAGGTCACGAAAGCCGTGAAGCAGGGTCCACCGGTGGAGCTGGAGTTCTGCACCCCGGGAACTGCGTAGCGCACACACTCGCCGGTCCTGGCGACGTTGACTCGGGTTTGTGCACAATTGCACAACCTTGCACTCACTGTTCGTTCGTTCGTGGTTCCTTCCACTTCTGATTCTACTGAGCCTTGGGTTCTCCTGGCGAAGACAGGGTGAGGCTGCTGGGTTCAAGCAGCAAGGGTTGACGTGGTATGATGTAGGCATAGCATCTTGGTACTCGAGGTACTCCTGAAACACGTCTTGCAAATCAGTCCATATCCCTCTCGTCTATCGCAGGCGCACACCATGCACAAACGCCGACTCGTTGGCAAAAGAAGGAAGCTGCTTGCACCCCAGGAAAGTTTCTGAGCGACGGGGGGGGAGCATGTGGGCATCCTCTTGCCATCATCTGCATAGATGCTGATGTCCACATAGTTGAGAGCATCCACCAGGGTGGACACGTTGCAAGCGTTGGAAATGTCGCACGTCGCCACCGACAACAGATCCCCGATTTTCGAGGTGAAGCTGCCCTGGCCGGCTGTCATGAGATAGTGTACCTTGCACAGTTCATCCTTGAGCGTTGCAAAGGGGCAGAGTGGGATGCTGCGCCGGCACCTGCCTCCGCCTGGTAGATCTGCGCGAGCACGAACCGAGCCAGCCAGCAGACATTACGGCAGATTGGGGAGGTAACATTCGCGAACTGCAAATAGCCGAACTGGTCTGGATTGTGCATGTACCTGGAAGGGCAGAGTGCTGTTGCAAAGTATAGCGCGCAAAGAAGCGTTTCAAATGAGGAATGCAGCAACACACCACGCTTTTCTATCAGGGCTTGGCTAAGCGGGCTTCGGGTGTCTGCGTGGCAGCGGTTGATGAGGCATCTACGTACGGCACAGATGGCAGCGCTCTCAGGGACGAAAGTGTCTGCATCAAAGTCGCTGGTGGCCACCGAGGTTTTGTGATGCCGCTTCGTAGTAGCACGTGGGTGCCGCATTGTTTGCGTCCACGAGAAACCTGAGATCGCACGATTTCTCGGGCCCCAACTCCGATGGAAGCCTCTCGGAGCTCTCGGTGCAGCAATGCGACTGGGAGAAGCCGTATCTTCGCTCATCTTCGCGGATGACTTCTTCGCAGAGCCGCTTGATGAACCTGCAGCGACATGCCTAGGCCGAGGCCTAGGCCTCACTCCTCTTTCTGTCTGATGGGTCACACTCTCTTTATCTCTCGCTGTCTCAACCGAGCCGTCAAGGACTGCAGTTTACTTGTAGCATTTCTCAGACTTGGGAGCGAAGCCCAAAGACCTCGACAAGTAACTACGACATACAGGCTCTACTGACGAATCAAGACCCCAAGCCGCCCCTTCCCCCGTAAAAAAGCCCTGCAGGCCCCACAGTAGACCACACTGCATAGACAGACGCAGCATTTCCAAACGAAAGAATCGTCAGGCAGCTCGGGATGCTTGGTGTCGGCAGCTGTGAGCTTGCTCCACCAGCCAGCATGCAGTGCATTTGCAAACCTGAGCGCGGCCAGCAGAGGGCAGAGACATCGTGAAGACATGTCGGTTGCAAGCAAGGCTCGTTGCCCACCAGAACCTCTGGCCGCGAACTGGGTGCAAGCTCTCCTGGTCCAAAGGTTCCAGACTCTCTAGAGCACAGCCCTTCCCTCCCGAAACCAAAGGTCTGAGATCCGCACCACCGAAGAAAATGGCAGGTGCTGCGAGGCAGGTCGATTCAGCAAACCTCCGTGCAGGGGACCTTAGATCTTTGACGAGAAACCGACATGGAAAGCGATCGCTCGGAGCCGAGCAACTAGAGAGCATGGGAAACCGAATTTCCAGCGCCCAGCCATGTGTTGTGTTCGTCCTTGGTACTCAGAAAGCCCTTGCAGATTCAAAACAACATTGCTGCGCCCCCAATGTGATGTCAAGTGACGTTGCAGACAACATCCCATCGCCGGGACGTGCAGTGTCCACAAACATCTCCATTGTCCACGACCCGCCTTCCTGGACTGGAATTCTTGTCGCTGCAACTTAGCAGGACCAGTGACGTCTCACCTTCTCGGAGTCATGGTCGCACAAACCTTTGCCTGCACGCACAAGAAGCAAGTGGTTCCATGGGCCGACATGCAATCAACAGCCACCAACTCTCAGACTCAGTAATGCCTGCATTCCATGTGGTGTTGCAGCACAGGGCACACTCAGGTGCGATTGAACCCAAGCCGGCCTGCGGCACGATGCCACTCTCGGTCAGCGCAACAAGATCTTAAAACAAAAGCAGTCTGTGAGGATCCACTCTTCGTGCTGTGTCTCATTGCCTGGGGCAGCTACCAAAGTGTGTCATAAGTTGCGTTCCTGCATCGCAGGCGCGCGCGCCCTGGCTGCATAACTAGATAGCACTCGGGACCCGTGCTCCTGGCATTCATCTCGAACTCCACATAGAAGTAGTTGCTTTGAGATGGATCTATGAAGACCTCGAAGTCATCGTCGAAGTAGGGCCTTGGTTACCACGGTCAACTGCTTATGATCGTCAGGTTACCCTAAAGCTAGAGGCAACTCAGGCATCCCACATGTCCCTGCTGTCACAAGCTAAATGATACAGCTCGTGGATTGGCGCATGCATTGCAAGCCAGAACGCAGTACTGGGGTTGCCTTCCACACATTGCTGTGGAGCTTGTCGCAGTGGCCCTCCACAGAAGCTGCCACGTGCCTCATTGCAGTTTGGACAGCATGGAATGTTGTGCCACAGAGATGTGAGAAACCCAACCGCAACAACCACAACAACCACACAAAAACCAAACTAGCCAAACAAAAAAACAGCAACAAAGCAAACACACAAACAAACAATTAACAACAGCCGCAGCAACAGCCGCAACAACAGCCACAACCACAGCCACGGCCACAGCCACGGCCACAGCCACAACAACCATCGCATCGGCCCCAACCGACACCACCACCACCACTACCACAACAACAACCACCACCATTGCCACAACACCAACGACCACAGCCACCACCGCCACCGGCAACAGCAGCAGCAACAGCAACAACAGCGCAACAACATCGGCAGCAGCAAAATTCAGCAGCAGTTTAGCTGGCAAGGGAAACGGCAAGATCACGGATATGATATGAGTGGTGGTGACGCCAACCTCACTGACACCAAAAACCATGACGAATGCTGCGATGCTTTTCTAATCAAGCGATGATGATCGCGATCGTCGGTGTTACCGGGCAGCTGTAACAAAAGCGCAGCTTGAAGAAGCCCGGAGCCCTTTGGGATCTCCTCATGGCCGAGGGCCAGGCTTCGAGAGTAGCTCTGCTCCAACGTACAGGAAGTCCTGGTACCCAGAACTTGGAGGTTCATGGGTAGTTATAAGTGGTGTTATAAGCCCCCTAACATGGGTTATAACTATAGTTACCCTACTTATAACCCCAATTATAAATACCCATGAACCTCCAAGGATGCGAGGACTAACGTGCCACGACTGCTATCGGCTCGTGTCTACGCTACACTGCGGGCACCTCGTCCCAGCGGAGCTTCACTCGGCTTGGATTCGGTGAGCCAGTAAGACGCCTGGCTACAGAGGCGCTGCAAAGCCCGGGGTCGGAGTGAGAAACAAACTTGCAGCCGCCTGCCTGGCATAGTCCCGTGATGCTTCTTGCCAGTCTGTCTTCACATGCTCAAACTGTAGACCAGCAAGGCCAAGGAAGTTTGAACGGACACGAACACGAACACACTCATCCTGGCAGGGTACATCGATCGGCACCTTCAATGGCAGTTTCGCCTTTGATTCTGCAATAAAGGATCGTGCAAGGGAGCCGCACGAAATTCAATTGACATGGAACTGTACTCCAAAACAGGCTACGTAGGGAGCACACCGAGGACCCACATCCACTTACACGATCTTACACGAGTCTCTCGACGGTGGTCGACACGGAGCAGCCACAACACGAACTGGAGCTCACCATGCGTCTGTCCTCACACTGCCGTGGCGTGGGCCAGCAAGATCCATGAACTTGTCCAGCCATGGTACCTGCTGGTGCGTGGAAAACGCATTGAAAAACGCTGAGCTCCAGACTCGTTCCTCTTGGCTTCGTTCCTATGCTTGACACAACCTGCAACCCGGTATCATTCTTCTCACGTGGCTGCTTGTACGGTGACAGGGCTTTGATACTTGAGCTTCCTGCGTTGCGGCCCGACATATGACGTCTGATACAAGTACTACACTGTCTTCAGACTTGTCGTATTCTGCAGCGGCAAGGACTCGTGTGCTTTGATTGAACTTGCAATAAATTGCAGCAATGGCCTCTGCCCAAGCTTCTTCATCAAGCCGGCCGTCGATGGAGATCAGCTGCCCCTGCCTAAGTCTTTGCACCTCGGCGTGACAACTGCCGGAACCGAATGCTCGAGGCACTGGAATCATGGAGCAGGAAAGTGCTGCTGTGCAGAAATCTCGAGGTGCATGCCACGTATTGTGATGGGTAGTGAGCGCTGATCAACTTCTCGATGACCGAGTTTGCCTTCTGCGGCTCTGACGAGCTTGCTTCACAGCATCAAGACCTGTGTTGCCCGAAAAGCTTGGTCCCAACATTCCACCAAACATCATGACCGCGACACAAGATTGCACACGCCCTTCTTTGGCTTTACCCGTCTTCCCAGCCTCTACCGGGCTCTGCCGCAAATGGAGCAGCGGGACCAGCATGCACCAAACATGGCGGAGTATCATGATTTGGAGTACTTGATGTCAGCTGCACGATGGACGGCTGAATGAGTAGGCTGCTCCTGTTGAGCCTTCTTCCGTCACTGACGTTGTACCACGCGGTTTCATGATATTCATCGAGGGTCGGCGGAGCAAATACACCGAGCTGCGTGTTCTGTAGCCACTAATCAATCTGAGAAGCACTGCCCCAAGGACGACTTCATGTCGTGTCAGCGGCACACTTGGTGAAGATGTGTCGATCTGTGCCTTGCACTGTCCTTGCAAAATAATCAAAATAATACAATCCTCTAGATGAGCATCCAGAAAGTTGCTTGGGAGACGGCTGCAAATCTTGTTGTGCGCTGGCTGGCTCTCTTCGCAGTACAGCGGCGACAGCATCCGTGTCCACGAAGGTTGCATAGGAATCTCAGGAGGCTGCAGCTAGTGATCGCTTTTTCCGGCTGCGATAGGTGTGAGCAACTCAAGGTCCATGCTGCCCGGCTGGTGCGGGCACACGAGGCCTCCAAGGGTCCCCTCAAGGACTTGTCTTTGTTCTCGGCCACACCGGAGCATGCATAGCTTGAGCCGGAGCGGATCCATCGACACCTTGCCTGGGTCCATCCGATGTCGCTTCTCCTGTCCTGCTGGGCGGGCCAGGCTTGGGCCCGGCAGGTCCCAGTCGGCGGGAGCCGGCAAAGGCAAAGTGCACAAAGCCTGAAATCAGCGCTTTAGCTTTCAGCAGCGCCTTCGCCTGCCAAATGAAGAGATGCCTCTAACAGGAATTGCTGACATGTTCGGTGAAACCAGCAGCTCTGCGAACGCTTCAGGCAAGAGCCTTAGAGACCTGGATCATCGTACACGAAGCTGGCACTCAGGCTTCTTCCCGGCTGACCCTGCGTTCATGTGGCTGCAGAGGACATGCCAACCAACTTCGCTCTGGCAGACATCACCCATCGTGATTGACCGGTCGCCGTCACCCTTGAACACCCCAAGTGAATCCTCGAAAAAGTCCATACACCCCATGGCAAGTTCCTTGAAAAGGTGCACCTATGCTACATGTCCTAGATATGATCTTACAGACCTCGCACGTTGGGCCCAGTTATGGGGAGCCTTCTCCCAGGCGCCGAGGCCGAGCTCAAGGCGACCTAAGGTGGTCTCCATGTGCTTGCGCATCGTCACCTTGGAAGGTAGGGACTTTAGGATCCATGTCCTTCCACCCGCTCTCACGGCTTAGGCCGCAGCTGGGGTGTATCCGGCTGGCCGCGAGTCGGTCACGAAGTGCGGCAAAGGCTCCACAAGAGTTTCCGGTGCCATAGCCTGGGTGGAACGTGTGGCTTCTTCTCCAGCTAGCCTGCCACTGCCTTTCTCAATCACGGCTCGCAACTCGGCTTCTTCCCTCAGGCCACGGCATTGAAGCGGATGATCGAAAACCTAGACAGCTCAAGTGCACAGAGCAGTTGGAAGCGTCCCTGGCCCCTCTTTGAGCACGTTTCATACAAGAGGCCGCTCGTGGGCAGTCTGAAGCACGCGATGCGGCGTGGCTCGAAGAACCCCGTTCGTGAATCGCTCGAGGATATCTCCCACGATCCTTGAGTTGCTGGCAGGAGTCTGTGTCGCTTCCGGCGTTTGGGCTTGGGCTATATGGACCATGAGAAACAGCAGCCCAAAACTGCCCTGTCTGCATGCAAGTTTCACCACAAACTCCTCTTCGCGAACTGGTGCATCTACCCAGTCGGCACCGTTCGGCGGGAGGAATTGCAAACCCGGCGCATTCTGATGCATCAAGGTGAATGCCTGATCGCAGAATTCACAGAGCTCGCTCCCTTGAGAAATCTAACAACAGAACATTGCCCATGTTTCCTCGAAGTCGGTGTGGGGGCTGATGCCGTAGTTCCTGCTCAGTAAAACACAACAGAGTGGACACTCCATGCGGTGATTATAATCATATGGTTATAGGGTGCTGTGAGACATTCACAGAGGGTTAACTCAATGAGAGCCTAGGGCCTAGGTCATGAAATTCAGCCAAGGATCGCTTCATGACGCTTCCTTGCCTCCTCCGAGCTCGTGGCTGCCGGGTAGTGCAGCAGGCGGATGGTGCCCATGTCGTGGCCTCGTATTGCAAGCTGTTGCCAAGCTTATGCAACAGCTCGCTTCCAGCGGATGCCCAATCTCAGAGTGCGGCCATCCCCTAAGAAACATGAAGAGAAGGTGTCCTGCACATTTCAGAGCTTGGTCCACAAAAGAAGCTTCTTATGACAAGGAAAGACTCGGATCGAGGCTGCTCTGAGAATCACCAAGATGCCCCGGCGGTGTCCCTCGGGAGCTCCAGCATCTCTGCAAAGGCCGTCATCAATGCTACGGCCAATCGATCTTGACGTCCGTAGAGATCCTGAGCACAGAAGAAACCATCAAGGCTTCTGAGTTTACCAAGACCGGCAGCTGCAAAAGTATGCTTCTTACGACAAAAGGCTAGCCCAAACGACCAAACCTCTCATTCGAGGCCTCGGGCAAAGTACAGGCCTGGGCTTGCGAAGTCTATCCTGGGGCAGCAAACCACCGCCTGCTCCGCCCCCTTCCTCACGACCTAGTAACCTATTACTGCAGCGTCCTGTGCTGTTCAGTTCTCGTTCCGACGATGCAATTCAGGAGTCATCCAAGAAGTCGTGAAAGCCCAAGCCGGAAGAAGGGCAGTGTACCTGCCGAAAGCCACGAGACGAGTAGTTTCAGGCCCGAGGGTAGTTGTCTGGTTCCTTTAAGACCGCAAGAGCATTGAGACCCTCTTGGAAGTCCGTTGCGAAAAACTCTTCCTCTTAGGGTGGAAACTCAGTCGCCAAGACTACCTTCTGAGCATCGTGCGCGTGTGTGTGTGTGTGTCTGTCATGCAGATGTTTTACACCTGTGCAGCCTGTTATGGTTCTTAGCACGCCTACATCGCTCCGTGTCGATCCTCCCCCTTCTCCACGAAGATTGCCATTGAATTGTTGTACTTTACGCCCTTGCGCCTCCGGACGAAAC